TAGAAGAGATCCTTAAAGGTCGTCTGGTTTAATTCCCCTGTAATGAACAGGAATGTCTACAGCTAGATCTGCTTACTCAGAGCCTCATCTAGCCTGACCAGTATGTCTCCAGGGATGGGGCATCCTCCACCTCTCTTGGCAACAGGTTCCAGTGCCTCACCACCCTTACCATAAGAAACTTCTTCCTTATATCCAATCTAAATCCTCCCTCTTTTAGTTTGAAACCACTTTCCCTTGTTCTATCACCGCAGACCCTGCTAAAGAGTCTGTCTCCTTACTTACAGCCCCCCTTCAGATACTGAAAGGCCACTATCAGGTCTCCCTTGAGCTTTCTCTTTTCCAAGCTGAACAGCCCCAGCTCTCTCATAGGAAAGGTGTTTCATCCCTTGGATTATTTTTGTGGCCCTCTCCGGACACACTCCAACAGATCCACATCTCTCCTGTACTGAGGATTCCACATCTAGATGCAGTACTCCAGATGAGGTCTCACTAGCACAGAGTAGAGGGGCAGGATCACCTCCCTCCACCTGCTGGCCACGCTTCTTTTGATGCAGTCAATGATACAGTTGGCTTTCTGGGCTGTGAGGGCACATTGCTGACTCATGGTCAGCTTGCCATCCACCAGTACTGCCAGGTCCTTTTTGGTAGGGCTGTGTTCCTTCCTTATATCTCCCTGCTTGTACTGATAGCAATGGTTGCCACAACCCAAGTGCAAGGCCTTGCACTTGGATTTGTTGAAACTCATGAGGTTTGTGTGGACCCATTGCTTAAGCCTGTCTAGGTCTTTCTGGACAGCAGCATCCCATCTCTCATGCATGTTGACCACACCAGGCAGTTTTGTGTAATTCAGAAAATAATGACTGCACTTCTTGGTGTCATTGATGAAGATGTGAAAGAGCATTGGTCCCAGTACTGACCCCTGAGGTACAACACTCATCTCTGATCTCCATCCAGACATTGAACCTTTGACCACTGCTCTTTGGGTACAGTTGCGCAACTAGAGATCTGCCAAACATTGGTAAATCTTCTGTCTATTGTCCATGTGCTGCAAAGCCAGCAAGTGACTTTAACAGCTTGTTTCAAATCAAATTAAGGTAAATGAAATAAAATGTCTGTATTCTTTTACTTTTTGGAAAACTTACAGGAAGGATGTTTCTAGGACAAGTGTAATGTATTTGGAAGCATTGGAAGAATGCGTCAACAGTTTGAAATCTGGGGTACAACAAAGTGGCCTGTAGGTTCAGACAGATGTTTTGGAGATGAAGGGATTTGCATCTTATGCCAACAGTTTTGAGTATTTCAGTCTTTTTCCTGTAGAACTTCTTAGTCGAGTGAAGTAGCACCATGGCTCTGGAGTTGTGTCTGCAACTGAATTCCCTTGTGGAGATTTGTCTCAAGACTTTTGTGTGGGAAGTTCTGCAGTTGTATGGATGATATCACAACTGGATATCACAACTGGAAACTCTGTGTTCAGAGAATGTCATGTTTATTACTTAGAAAACTGGCTGCTATACCAGTCCTCTAACCTCTAAAGGACACTGAATTGTGGACACAGCACAAATGCTAAAGCCTTTTATATGACAAGATTAGAATACAAGGATTCTGGTGGCCTTCAGGGCAATACAGCAACCGTTTCAGTTTGATAGTGTAATCTTTCTTCTGTTGCAAGTCATCGTCTTTCATTCATGCCTGGTTTTATTAGTCTGAGATGTTGTATCCTATTTTTTCTTTCTCGCTTTGAGCACTTCTTTATATGATAGCTCTTGTGCATTAGGAAAAGTCTGTTAGCTTATGATGCTCTTTGATTTGTGAAGTTTACAATCTAATTTTCTCCTTTACTGAATTTTTGTTCCGTGTTGTTTTCTTTAACATTGGCATGTCTGAGTATGAACACACATAAGACAGTTTTGCCGTGCTATAGCTGTGTGGTGTGACTGTACTTTCATCTTGTCTCCCATGTGATATTTGACCTCCCTCATGCACTGCACTCTGCTTTTAATCTGTAGGGGTCTGTCCAGCCCTGGCTTTGGAAGTACGATGCTATCACACTATTAACCAGAGCTCATTAACACATGTCAGTTTAGAGCAGGCAGCACAGTATATATGCCAACAGCAACATTCAGGTGAACCATGTGGTCATTACGATAAAATGATCTGAGCAGTGAGGGTAAGTTTAGAGCTCAGACTGCCACTATAGATTTGCCATGATCCTGTGCAAGCACTGTTTTCCCTGGCTCCTCAGCCCTGCCCATGGCCTAAGTCTCCACATTTGCCTTATGACTGTCAGAGTCTGCCCCAGCGAGGCCACAGAAAGGCCAGGCTGCAGCCTGAAATGGGCTTTTGCCAAGCCAAGCCTATGGCCCTGCCCATCCTCTGTCTCCATCCCCAGGGAGCTGCTTGGTGCCCCTGGCTGCCTGTTCCTGCCTTAGTATGGGAAGGCCTTACCCTTATGGTCTCCATGAGGAATTGCTGGCACTGTTGGCCCTGGGAGATGTCATACGGAATGCTGAGGGAAATTTTGGTCTCAGTACCAGGGAAGTACTGAAACTATGATTGCATACATTGTCTCAGTAGTTACCAGAAAATTAGAAGGCCAAATATTTGAGCTGCTCTCAGGAATTTCTGGAAACTGCAAAAAGAGCAATGACTTTTGAGAGATAATTCCAATTCAGAACTTGGGTGATCATGGTGAGAAATCTGGAGCAGCCCACAAGGCTAGTTGAAGAAAGCTCACTCTAATCTAATGAAGCAAAGCTCTCATGTAATTGGCAAACCAACCGCTGAGGTACAAAAGCATTTAGTGCTGGAGGGGGCACCAGCGATGCACAGCATGGGAAGACTTCCTACTGGAATCCCTATTCATGTGTTACATAGAGCCATAAAAGGGGCATTTGATTCAGAGTTCCTGGAGGTAGATACTCAGATCATCATTGGAAGCAGTAAGTGAGTGTAATTTTGCAGTTTTTGTTTATAATGACAAATTAAACAGTCTCATCCTCTGCCACCAGCTGCATGCAAGTTTTATCTTAAGAGAAAAGGAACGGCTCTGAGAAACATTATAGGCCAAGACAGTCATTCTATATGATACCTTACACCTGGATTTTCAGCAACCCAGGATGGATGTAAGTGCACAGGTCTGCCCACTCATGCAGATTGAGCTTGGTGACCTTACTGTTTCCACCCATGTTCTTCACTGACACTGTTGCTCATCCCTTGCAGCCATGGCACGTACACCTCGTCTGAGGACTGCTGGCTGCCATCAGGAGTTAGGGCTCCTAGGGAATTTTACACCAAATGATGAAAGTGCTTTTGGCAGCTTAAAAGCTGGATTGAGAACCCCCTTTGAGACCAGCACAGTTTCTCCCTGAGTCTGGTTGCCTCCTGCTTGGTTTCTGCAACCGTTGGCTGGGATTAAGGAGCTGTAAGGTGCTGCTCAGAGATACACCTGTGAGGGCTGTATTGGCTGCTGATCTGGAAAAAGCTGCAGAGCCCATGCTCTGTGCTGCAACTAGCAGGGATGTATTACAATTACTTACGTGAAGGCAACAAAATGATGAGGTAAATGAACTGGCAGTTCCTGTTTTTTGTTCCCTGCTGCCGCCTTATTCTTAAACCCTTCATGATGAGGCTGATAAGGTCGCCTCTCCACCCCCTCACAAAGGAAAATGTGTCATTTAGAAAAACCAAGTCTTAGGGAGCAAGAAAACAATTTTGATTTAACTGCTATTTTATTGATAATGCTGTCTGTTTGCTGGATGAAGAAAGGAACACAGTAATCCACATATGAATAGTCAAACTTTGCACAAGATTTAATACCACCAACACCAAAGCTCTGGGGAGGAAAACTCACCCCCCTGTGCTTCTGTGAGGCCCTGGGTGATGGCCATTTGATAGCAGTTTCCCAGTGTGGAAGGAGAATGCAAGACTCATCGTGTTCCCATAGTACTTGTCTTCGTGACATTTTGCAATCTGCAGAGCATTTCACCATGTATGATTCTGTTGTCTGCTTTTCCTCCTGAGCCTAAGCAGCTGCAGAAGTGAATGGGGCTGGAGATAGTTGGATTCAAATATGCCTCTTAAGATTATCATCCTTTGCTAGACCTTTTGTGGTAAGGCTGCTCTTTCTTCATGCTTTTGGAGATGTTCATTCATTGTCTTTGTTTGTAAAAGTCCACTGATACTACATTTGTCCTCTCTGCAAGCTAATGTGTCTTCTCATGGCACCATACCAGTGGCCTTGGATGGGTGAGTGTACTTAGGGCAGCATACAAAGGTTGCAACATTTCAAACATAGATGGAAAGCTCTGCTGTGCATCTGTTCATTGAACTTGCTGAAATGACATCTTTGAATGGCTGTTTCCCAAAATAAGAGAGTCCTACTTGAATGCTTTTAATTTCTCAGCCTCACAGAAAGTTTGCAAAGTTTTTTAAAGAAAATTAGGCTGATTAGAAAAGGATTTGGTTAAATAACATGGTACATTAAAGAAACTGTCAGCAGACTTATGACCCATATGACTTATGACAGGCTGCTCTGTCAAATAGTGGATATGTTGAAAAATAAAATCACTGTGTTCTAATATGAACAGTGTGATTGCTGTTGATTTTACTTCTGGGTTATGTAATAAAACACACACTTAAAAAAAAAGGAAAGAATCTGTGTGTGTAGTGTTCGTGTGAGACACATCTAATTTTTCCTTTTGCAAGATTAAAGGACATTTTCTTCTAAAGGGCTGCAAAACCACCTCCTGCATTGGGATGCTCTTCCAGTTCCCAGTTGTTTACTACTCAAGCCCTAGGCACCATGCACAAGCTTTCTTATTACAGTCCACTGTACAGAGAGAATTTTTATCAGTTTCTTAGTGCAGCCTGAACTTAGTGACTAAAAAGTGCAATAATTTGTTTTTGATCCTGTTATGATGTACTATCAGAAAACCACTGTCATATTGTTCTTCTTCACCTAATAAGTATGTTTTGTATTTCTCTGTTTGGTGATCCTGCAGACTGAGCTCTTGGGAGTTTTACTTGCTGCTGCCTCAAATGTTCTGATTAGCATCTCTTTGAGTATGCAGGTATGAAATTATTTCTCTTTATTCTGAGTTGTTTGTATTTAGAAAGCAACTTATTTTATGATTTGTTTTTATGGTGAAGTTCAAAATACAAATTTTGTTGCATTTAATAAACATTCCCTCTCTTTAACTCGCGTTAACTCGCAGCAGTTCTTGGCTAGGTGGTATATCTCAGTTGGTTATTTGCTGTGATTCCCATATGAGAACAGAATCAAAATTCATAAGTCCTCCTGCACCTCCTTGTACTGTGCTGTAAGAATGATCAGATGTGACCTCCATCTGGTCCCAATGCACATCACAGAAACCTGTCTCAGTAGGTCCAATCTAAACTGGAAGTGACTGCATATTCTTAAGACTGCTTAGTGAAGTGATCAATGTGATTAAATATATGCAGGCATAAAGAATTTTTTTGTTTGTTTGTTTGTTTGTTTGTTTTTGTTTATAGAGATGCAACATACAAAATAGTGTATATTACTGTGCATTGGTGGCCTGTGGCTTGGAGAATTATGTTTTTCTTTATATTCCCTTTTCCTTCAAGGGCTAAGCTTCTTCCTAGGATTTAATCCCCTGAGCATTTTCCAAAGCATGAAGCTGCCATAATGTTCTGCTTTTTCTCATAAAGGGTTGTAACTGAGGCTATGGCATATCACAGACATCACTGTTTGACCCATATTCTGTAGCGAAACCTGCCGATTGAAATGGAAGCATGAGGAAAATGATTTAGAACTTCCTTGTGACTCTGCAGTGGCACTTCCAAAATCAAATATCAGATGGTGGTATAAAGTGCATACTTTACAATAATTTATACTATGATAGCTATATCAGTTTGTTTCCATCTTTTTCTTTTTTTTTTTGACTCATTTCCCCATGCAGAGAGGCTGATGGGGTATCTGAGAAAGGAAATGATATTCTGCAGAACCAATGTGGTGGACGTGATGTTCTTCCCCATAATGACACCTTCCTTGTGGTGAATGCCTGGGCTCTGTTTCAGAACTCCAGCATGGTCAAAATCAAATTATCCTGTTACATACAGGTACTTTCTGTACAGTCAGAGGGAAAACAATGATGCTGTGTAAGTGATACCTTCTCTATGTGGCAAGTACTGATGAAATACTACTTGAGTATGTATTTCTCTTGTTGATACTGTTAAAGCTGGTTTTTCTTTTGAAAATAATGCTTTAGCTGAGGTCTTTTTCTAAGGTCAGGTAGGAGATTGTAGCCAGATCCTAAATTCTCCCTAATGAATTAACAGTCCTCCCAACAGTAGAAGTAGTTAAGTGCTGCCTTTTCCATCTTGGAATTGTATTCCTAGCTAGAATACTTATCAGGAACAGAAACAGCAGGTTGTTCAGTCCCCTTCTCCCAGTCTGTTGCCAGAGTTCTGATTCTGGCCCATCTCTTCTCCCTGGGTGTTGCTAAATTCACAGCACAACCTGCTCTTCTGTACTTTGAGACTAGCACAGAGGCTTGCAGGGATGGCTGAGAAGCACTAGCTAGCATTCACTTCATGCTTTTCAGGTTTGTTCAGAGGTCTAATTTTTCAGTCGTTTCCACCATGGCTTAGGAAGTACACATCTGAGTTAACACAAAGCCATCTGTCTGCAATAGCAAGCTGAAAGGCGTGCTTAAAGAGAAAACGTCGACGCACCTGGAATTCAGAGATGACAACCCCTTAATTACTCCACTTTTGCTATCCATAAGAACACAATGGAAGTCTTTCTTTTCATGCCTGTTCCTAATAATTAATTTTCCAGAAATGCATTCATCTCCGACTGGCTCGCCAAGCAGAGCTGAAGCCCTTCTACAGGAGCAAGCTGTGGTGGTATGGAGCTGTCCTGCTGGGCCTTGGAGAGCTGGGCAATTTCACAGCCTATGGATTTGCCCCCGCTGCCCTTATTGCTCCACTAGGATGTGTATCTATCATAGGTGAGATGTTTCCCATGTTTTGCTTGGGTACCTGATTTAATTGAATGCTTATTTGTGACTGGAGGATAATACCACAGGAACCGCAGCAGGAACATGAGGGGAAAATGCTAATGCTGTGGTTTGAAAAGAAATGACTCATATATAATTATGTGAGCTAACAATTTAACACAAACCCTGTACTTAACTCAGAGACTCTTCTAATATTTTTCTTTTTTCTTTTCTTTTTTTCTTTTTTTTTTTTTTTTTTTTTTTTTTGCTCTGGGGACTCTTGTCACTCTGTGCTGTGCTAATTCCTGCCATTTAGTCACCTGGTTCTGTACCACTGGTGCTGGCAACACAAGCTGTCAAGGCCAGGGGCTGATATCCTGCTGCCTGCAGAGCTATGGTCAGATCCTGAGTACCCAGTGTGTTTTCTGTGCTACCATCACACCAAGTAGTTCCTGCTGCCTGCTCCTTGCCCGTCCCCGTGCTTAATGTTGGGTTGGGCAAATTCACCTGTCTGTACTCACCTGGCACTGGCAGGTACCCTCACACTTGGGTGTACCTTGGGGTCTGAATGGTACCAGTTTGTCCTGACTCACACACTAGAGTCACTTTTGCAGAACAGTATGCTCTGTAAATGGGCAGCAATTTTTCTTTCATTTGATCATTACTTTCTTTTTCTCACTGTGTTTTACGAACCCTTCTCTGACCAAAGAATACTTATGGCAGTAGGGAGCAGAAATTTCCTGGAATTCTTATCTTAGTTATGGATATTTCATAGAATCATAGAATATCCCAAGCTGGAAGAGATCCATAAGGATCATCAAGTCCAACTCCTGGCTTCATTGAAGATCACCCAAAAATCAGATGTGCAGATAGGACTTCAGTAGAATCATTTGTATTGTTAGGATGCAATTGATACAATCTTTATTCTTCATAGTTGTTTTTTGTTTTGGACTTTTTTTTTGTAGTTAGGGTTTTTAGAGGGCTATCCCAGGTATGAGGTCTCTTGCTTCTTTGATAAAGAAACATACATTTTAAAAGACGTGGTTATGTTGTGCTAATGCAAAGCAGAGTGCACAGGGCAGTATCATACAGAGTGTGGGAAAACAGAGATACAGAGTGCAGCATATCCCTTAATCATATAGTTCACATCCACAGCTGAAACACACAGGGCTGAGATATAACAACAGTTCTGTATACACTGAAGCTCATTTGTTTGCTATTGACAAGTGATAACATTTCATGGTCTTTGTCTAGCTACCAGTTTCAAGCTCAGAAGCAATGCTGCAGTGAGCAATTCTGCATGGGAAGGTCGAAAAATGAATTATCTTCCCTGTGGACTGTCTGTCTGTATTGGAAGAGGCAGCCAAACATATGTGGGTGCAATTTAGCAAAGAAGTTGTGGGGGAAGGAAACTGCAGGCAATTTACTGTAACCTTTAATGTTAAACTATTGCAGAATTTTGGAGAAAGATAAAAAACCACTGTAGTTCACCACTGTAGGAAAGATTTCTCTAGGAAAGGAATGAGATATTACCTGAGATGAAAATGTAAATTAACAGGACAGATCCCAGTGTGATTTTGGTGGCTGCAGTTTTATCTTTAACAATTGTAGGCATTTCCAGATGTTTCTGAACATACGGGAACCTGATCTAATTTGTTGCCCATACTGAAGAAAATGCAAACATATACATCTAGAAAGAAGAAATGAAAAGCATTAGGAAGGGAAAAAATTACTTTGGTTATTAAGCTGCTGCAAAGAAAAGGTCATATTTAGGGTGATTTTTATCTGAAGAGATTTCTTCTTCCGTACCTTTGCAATATATGAAGAAGCACTGCATCTGTTTCCTTCATTTTCCATTTCCCTTACTTGTAACAAATACCAAGAAATCATTTTCCTTACTGCTATATTTTGTCAAAACTCTTATCCATTTTTCTTTTTTTTTTTTTTAATTTTTAACTGACCCCAAAATGTTTATCCTGGAAGACCCCAGAAAGCACTTTAATAACTTATATTCCATTCCCATATATCAGCTGGCAGTATCCCTTTCTTAGCCCAAACAATAGAGATATCTGAAGTTGTATTTAGTCTAGCTAACATTCCCTTCAGGAAGGGAAAGTAAAAATGATGTGGATGGCCAATTACAACAATAACTTCCCAGTAACGCTTCCTACCACTAGATACTTCCCTGTCTTCTGAAATTAGAATCAGAGAAAGAGCAAGCCTCTTTTTAATTTTAGAATAGTTCAGAGTTTAGGGCAATGACAAACTGACCAAGATGCAGCACATCAGCTGCCAGTGGCTGTGCAGAGAATAGGTCTTCCATTTTTAGAGATCAAAAAATACTTTTTCATTATGATGTGATCTTGTTTAGGTGGAGACTGTGGACTTTGTGTCGTCTAGTTGGCTGCTCTTTTGAGGCACACTGTTGAATGTGCAACTTTTCATAACTTTTTTTTTTTAAATGAAGAAATTAATCACTTGTTAACAAACTCCAAATCTGTATCTGAACCTTCTGAGAAGCACTTTTTTTCTGAATGTGTTTTCAACGCACCTACAAGAATAGAGTTCTCTGTCACTGACTGGGTGCTCAGCACCTGTGGCCGCGCAGAGAAAAGCTGTGCTTCGTGGTGCGCCCAGCTGTCCCTGAAGATCTCTGTGACTCAGGATCCACATTTTTCTTTGCTTCAAAACCAGGATGTGGAAAGAGAATAAGGCATACTGGAGTCTGCCCAGTCCAGATTTGGGCTATTCCCATAATGTATCTCAAAACTTCTGAAATAGAAAGCATCTTGGGTCTTAAAATAGATGGAGCCAAAAACTATTATATCCTGCAATCACAGTTAACCAAATCCAACTGAATTTTGCATTTAATTCAGTATCAATTAAATAGCAAAAAGTTTGTGCTTCATCCTATTGAGATGGGTGCTTCTGATGGATGCTTTAGAAAGAATTCATCACCACAGACCATGAGTTGGCACAACACCAGTAGATTTTTCTCTTTTCTTAGAATTAAGCTACAAAGACTATATATTCTTTTCTTGCACAGTGGAAGCATTTCTGTGTGTGGTTGCAATGATGCAAGCTCTGCATCTGTTCAGGGTTTTAAATAGTTTGAGAAGACAGCAGTTGTTTTCTTTCAGAGGAAAAATTGGTAAATTTTTAATTAAAAAAAAAAAAAAGAGGGGTAATACATGTTTGATGTGATCACTAAAAAGCTTTTTATACTTAAAAATTAAAAATCATTTTTTACAAGCAGCTTGGGTAATTTTAGACCCATGTGGTTTTTTTGTTCATTCCCTCGCTTTTGCTTGCAGAAATAACTTAGGGGAGTTGTGTGAGGAGAGGCCAGTGGAATCAGAGAAGGCTTCTTATGCAGTTTTCATCATTCTCTAGAGAGTTTTTTTTACACTAAACTCACTTAGGCTGACAGTGTTGAGATCCCTTTTCATTTTCGTATGCTCCTTCTAAATAGCCATGGGGCAAGACATTGCTTTAGGCTTTGGAAAATGATATCCCTGATGGTGTTTTAGGGAAAAAACAATCTCAGATATTTGTGCAGAAAAGTATTTCTCCCACTCCATGTAACATAACACCTTTGTGGTCCAAGACCATGAGATTCTGAGAACTCTGTTACTAATGGGAACTGGGAAGCAGTCACCAGACTGTTCTTTAAAGTGCTTTTCTGAAGATGTAACAAAATCATTTCCAGGGTTCTTCCTTCTCTCTTCAATGTGTATGTTCTATAGCCCAGTTTCCAGAATTAAACTCACCATAATGGCCTTTCTTTTGAGCAGTTTCTCTGAGATCTTGCTTGCTTGTTTATTAGGATATTGACACAGGGGAAAAGCAAATAATGTCTTGTCCACCGCTCTTCCAGTAGTGATGTTTCGTCACATTAAAAATGTTGCATGTTCAGTTTGCAGAATATCTGTCGTGAGGTCAGGCACCACCTGACTAAAATCTTTAATACCTTCCTTTGTATTAGTGCACCATTAATAGCTATAGTTTAAACTAACAGTAGTCTTAATGATCAGCTATGATGAATTTGTTCGTAGATGTCCTGGGCAGAGCTGGCTCTCTATTTAACTCTATCTATGCATGCAGATGTTCCTTCATGTTCTCCAAATCCATGTTAATGGGCAACAAAGGAGGCCTAGGTTTCACCGGGTCTAACAGTACCTCTTCACCTCACACCTGAAGCCTCTCCCTTGTCTTCCCAAAATGACCCACAGTAGGACCATAGCCTGGATTTTCTTGGGCTGCTGCCCTCCCTGTGAGTGAGATAGGAATGCAGAAGGATAAGATGGTAGAAGCTTCAAGCTGATATTCTCTGGGAGATTCTGTTGTGAATTATTTACTTGCAGACTCAACCATGGAGATGACATTACAGGTGCTTATTCTTCAGCTACGTCCCATTCTTTTGATGACCAGCAACCTAGCAACCTCAACTGTTCACTTTTTTCTTGTCCCGCTCTTAGTGTTTGGCCTCCAGAACCCCTGTGGACATATTGATACTTACCCAGGAAGAGCTGCTCCCCATCATCTGTCTCCTTAGCCTCCTGCTCATTTGGGTTACAGTGATCAAATGTACTACCTGCCTCATCTTCTCTCCGTATTTCCCTGCCTATGTGGCAGCCTACATTAGATTGGATGGATTAGTGGTCTTTTTCAACCTGTAGGATTCTGTGATTTACGATCTTTCTCACATCTGTACCAGGATGGTCCTGAATCTCTTCAGCTCAGTAGATAGGCAGAGCTCTGAGGATCTCCCTGTACAGAGCACATTTTATGGTCACATTTTCAGATGTGACCTTCCTGAGCAGCAGCATCTTCATAGTTTGAGCATTCCTCAGCATTTCAAGTGTGAAATCATCTGGGTGAGTTTAAACTGCTTCATAAGTTGCAGGCAGACCCATAAAGTGGTGCAAATGCTTGCACATCAAGTGAAATGTTTTCCCTACTGCATAAATTGGGAGAGGTGCAAACATTAAACAAATCTTCACATCATGGCTAGTACTCCTCCTTTGGCATTTATCCAGCTTGCCAGTGAAAAGTATAGAGAAGCATTCTGCAAAACAGGTGTTTTTAGGAGCCTTTGCCTAACTGGTGTGATCTCAGCTTTGCTACCAATCAGCTAAGCTTAAGAGAATGGCTATTTGAGACTAATGTTCAATTTCTTTTTCTCTCTATCAAAAAAACAGAAGGAGCAAAGTTTATCTGTGCATTTCTGAAGACTGTACTAATTATTTTAAATAAAGCTAATCTAAGACTTAAAATGAGGAAAATTAAGGATATACTAGCATTTTGGATGGTCCTGTGTGGAGCCAGGAGTTGGACTCAGTGATCCTTGAAGGTCCCTTTCGGTCTGGGGTATTCTATGATTTATAGTTATGGACAGTTATAGAAATCACTGCTTGAGGTAGGGTCTGAAATTAAAATTGAAGAGCTGAGATTCATAGATGGTTTCAGTACCAGGAAAACAGTTTAATAAATGAAAAATATTCATCAAATTGTTTTGCGTAGAAAAAATGAATAATGAACACTGTTTTTTATTTGAGTCTTTTAAGATTGGATTGGATTAAATGCAAAAAATGCACCCTAATGTTCAGTATTTATTCTCTGTTTTAACTTCTATTGCTCTATATTATTCCTTTCTTAAAAATAAGCAAGCAAACAAACAAGAAACAAGCTGGACGGCACATTTCTTGACTAGGAGGCAGAGGAGTTGTTTTCTCAGCTGGATTCTCACCCTTCAGTGTCTGCTGGTGGTAGAACCCACACATCATGCTATTCTTTATTTCTGTTTCTCCTGCAGAAAACCTACATATGGAGATAATCGCATGCTATCGCTCTCTGAGGAGAATCAGCATTGACTAATTTGTGTGCAGCACTATTACACCTCTCCCTTAAGGCCCTTAATTGTATACCATGCAGAAAATGGACATTTCCTATCATATTTTTCAATTTAAATAGAAATTCATACACTGTAGTAACAGACAGTGAATGCAGAACAGACTGTTTTATGCCGGTGTGTAAAAAAGCATGGTTGTTTCAACATAACAATTAAGCTTCTTAACAAACTCTTTTTTTTCCCTTTCCCATTTGATAGTTTATATTCATCACAATTTTGATGTAATAGCAAGCCATAATATTTTTCATTTGAAATAATAATTCCAGGTTTCCAGATTGAAGAGCTTCAGGAGCTGTCAAAAAGGCTCTATTATAGAGATACAGACATTTTATTGATTTTATTTGATTGCATCTGATTTGCATGGTTCTCCTCTGCCCAGGCTTGATTATGTAATGTTCAGCCCTTAACAGATCATAGAATCATTGAGGTTGGAAAAGACCACTTATATCGTCTAGTCCAACCACCAGCCTGTCACCACCATGCCCACTGACTGATGTCTGTCAGTGCCACATCTACACTTTTCTTGAACACTTCCAGTGATGATTTTCTGCCCTTTTTTTTGGTCTAGCAGGCCAGCTGTGTCTGCTTTCAGCTGGAGTAAGATCCATGCCTTGTTTTTAAAATTTTACCTCATTAGTTAATAAACTGAAAACGTTTTGATCCAGCTGAAAGTATACAAATTGTCTCAGACAAGTGGAGGTGCAGTCTTCGCTTCAGTGACTACAGGCTGACAGTTCAGACTTAGAGCTGTGCGTGTGATTGAACCAGTGGTTCCAAAACAATTAGTGTGTAGAACTATGATAAATTGCTTGCTTTAGTGCCATGCTGTTGCCAGCTTATGCTCTGACAATTTTTTTTGTTGTTTACTTTTCTTTGTTGCTGAATTCAATTGCTGACCAATTAAGAAAAGAACCAGAGAATAGTCCTCGGTGACATGGATCTCAATCTCTATGACTGTCTACAGATTTTTATGATTATTATTTTAAAGAAAAGCAGGCTAATAAATGAAGAATTGGAAAGATGCGTTAATACTTTTCAGCACAGCGATTGCCCAACTTCTTTAGTCTGTTCATTCATATGGTTGAACACAATGTTCAGTGATCTCCTTCCCACATTGGTATAACATCAGAGGATGCCCACAGCTCCTGTGGCAGAGAGGGGAACAAGAGGACCTTCCGTAGGAAAGGGGAAACTGGGGTGGGATGATGGGAAGGGTTTTTACTCATATATGTGGTGTGCTTAGCTCTGGCCTTTGGCAGCCCATTTGTTCTTTTGCCAGGGGTGACCACAGCCCTAGGATAACTCAGGCTGGAGGGGACCTTAGGAGGTCCCAGCCTCCTGCCCATAGCATGGCAGGTCACCGTGCACAGAGGAGATGGCAGGAACAATGTTTGTCAGCTAACAGTGGCTTGAGAAGTGAACATTTTAAGGAGCGGAATGCACCTGAGGCTGTGAGGTTTTTGCTTTTCTGCTTCACCTGAATACATATTAAGTGTTGGTGGCTTATCCACGGGGACAGGTGCCTTTTCTGTTCAAAGTCTCCCCTGGGTTTCACTCTGCTCCTCTTCCATTGGCATCTTCCCTCCTACTTTAGATTTTACCAATTCCTCCCATCCCAGGTGGCCTAATATACATTCTCTGAACCTCTTCTTTTTTTTAAATCCCTCTACATATTACACATCATAAAGAGCATTAATTATACATATATTCTGTTGAGCTTGTGATCTCCTGTGCATTACCAGCTATCTCTGGAGAAAGAGCTTGCCACATTTGCATTATTCAAGTGGATGACAGGCTGAGTGACTGGAATCCTTATCTGGATGCATTCCTGTGCCTACTGCCAGCCTCAGAGATTGTGGTGTACTCAGGTTGCTATTTATCATCTCCAGAGATCCAGGCAGTGGAAATGTGGGCTTAAATCATATCACTCCAAATTGGATGCCAATACCAGGATCGAACTCTGTGTTGTGTTTATTAGATCTCCATGGGGAGCCCAGACAAAGTAGTCAAGAAAAGAAATCACTGAGACATCAGTTCATTAAACAACAGGTCTGTACTGTTACAGTGGCTACATATGGGGTGGTCTGAGATGTGGTTTGGGAGAGCTCTGACAGCAGTAATTAATTCCTGCACTAACTCAGGTTGCTGCTGCTTCTCTCCTGCCTTTTATCCTCTCTCTTTTCAGAAACTAGTTAGCACCAGTATTGCCAGTGTTGCCTGGATACCAGTGTCTTCTATAGCAGAGTTTTCATTTAAAAAGAAAACTGTGTCAGATAGTTTGCGTTCAGCATGGCATTTTCAGTTAGAGATTCCTTTACTGTTCTTATTCATTTGCATAGAGCTCCATTACTCTTCATGCAGTTTAAGTTTTGTCTCATTTTCTACTGACATGATGCTGAATTCTCATTCTAATTATCTTGTTATGAACCTATTTTGATATATCTAGAGTGTATCTAGTAGTTAACAAGTGATTAATTTTTCCATTGGAATGATAATGATGCAAAGATGGTCACAAAAAGATCTATTATTTCAAGAATAAACCAATAACTAATGTAGACAGGAACAGAGAACTTACAACAGCTTCCCACAACTTAGGTTCAGTGTGTCCTTTCACAGTCCCTTCTGGGACAATGAGGTTTCTAAATCTCATTTTTTGAAGTTTCTAAATCTAACATTACCAATGAACTTCTCCCAAAGGCTTTTCTCCACCTCTTTTAGCTTTTCAGCCTCTTTTGCCTCCCCTTAGATGTAGATACTCTAATATTGCATACTGGAAGAGAGCCACTTCTTACAAGTGTCTGACAATCTTAGTGGTACATCTTCATTCCAAACCCCTTCTTCCTTCTCTAGCACACGTCCAGACTGAGCTGCTCACCAGAAATACTGTTGTGATGGCTGCTGCTGCTCACCCACTCCCTACTGCTGAATTGGGCTGGAAGCTGCCACAGGCAATGTGGGAAACCTGGGCAAGGGGTGGAGCTGCTGAGGAAAGACGAGTTCATTTCCATTTTTGCGAACATTTCAAGTGCTCACTTCCATTTTTCCCCTTTCTCATTACAAGTCATTCTAGAAGACTGTGAGTAGCCCTCCTATACGTACTAGTTCCTCCTCCCACTTGTTCATGACATTAGGCTTTTTCAGTGGTTTTCTTCCTTTCAGTTGTATTTCTGCTAGTTTACTTACAGGCTTCTAATACACTGAAGTTTGGAGAAGCAGAAATTTATCCTTCTGTGCCTTGTCTGAATCCGTGGAGATAGTTGTGGGAAAAATAGGGAGTGGAACAGCAGGATTGATCAGTACCCAAGTTTCCTGATGCTTCCACATATGACTGAATCAGGGCAGTTCATGTAGTGTCTGTGTGGGAGCTCTTCAACTACGTAAGAGCATGCTGGTTATGTCTAAAATTATACAAAATTAAGTATTGGTTGGTTGCTGGAATGGACTCCTGTCTGGTTATATCATGGTACAGTGCAACAGCTTTGAGATATATTTACACTTGGCTCAGAGTGGCTTTTTGCTATAGCACTTGATATTCTATCCAATATATATATAAAAAAAAGACTTGATATTTCTGTTCTAGGTAGTGCATTTATTTCTGTCTTATTCCTAAAGAGGACCATGAGGGCTGCAGATATACTGGGTAAGTGTTTGCTAATATGGACGTGTGTGGCCATATGCTTAGCAAGCTGAAGCTCTCACGCAACCCCCCCACTTCACACTCCCACTTCCCGAGTGTTTTGAGGCAGTTACTTATAAAATTGGGAAGAAGTGACAAAAAGAGGGAGAATCTTCAGTGCATGTGAAACAGGCTGCGCTCCCAAATCCTCTGAGCTTATAGCCATAACTCATTCCTTATGTGTCCTTTGCTCAGATTTATTTTCATAGTCTGGTTTTACTTGTGAGGTTGTATTTAGCGTTATCTTTGTGAGTAAATTCTAATAAAATTAATGATATTATTGAGTTATTCATTCAAATATAAGGTTCTTTTTCTTACTGCATAGATATTGCACAAAAATTTGAGTTCAATTAAAAGTGGCAAATTCCCTTTTGGTATTAATTTTATCACTTCAAAGAGCAAGCAATCATGTTGTCAAGAGTTCTGTTGGGAAATGTGGTCTTCATTACAAAAGTATGTCATGTTTGTGTGTGTGTGTCCAAGATATTTTACGTATCAAAACTGCCCTGCTTGTAATAGTGAGAGACAAGCATATTTCAGAATTTGGATTTTGCACCAAACATTCTCAATATAGAGAGCACACCTGACAGGTACCTGCCATGGGGCATCTGGTGTTACTGCAGAGCTTCCAGCATCTAGGCTTGATTGTCCATACTATAACAAGTTCATCCCAGCTGTTCTCATGAATGTTTTGGAGAGATCCATTCAGAATTGTTCCAGGAATACTATATAATATTTATTTAGGTTTGAGATCCAAATTTGCCAGCTCAGCTGCTACGTTCAAAATTCCCCCTCTCCCCTCAACTGATCGTGTTTCCCTTATGGCCTTATAACTGTGGGCTGTTTTAACTAGTGCTCAGCACTGATTTATTTTATTTCTGTGAGTTAGACTATGCAAGAAGGATTTAACAATGTTGCTACATTCCATAGGAATGAGCTGTATGATGGGAAATATGGTGATGTTTTTGCGAGCACATAAATATAGAACAGCGCTGCTTTTCCAAAGAAATTGTGTGTGATAGCAGTGCCAGCAAAACCCTCCGGATGTGCTTTGTTTTGTATTCCTGAGCATTGTACTCCACACCGATTTGTAGGTTTGCCAAGAATTTTAAAGATTGCTTGAAAAAAAATTGATTAGCTAATATCTTCCCTAATCCAGTACAGCTTATGAGCTCAGGATCAGCTCACTTCTATCTAGATAACTCAATGAACATCTGTGTTTGTCAGCTGGCTGTCCACAAGGCAGAACTTCCAGATTTTTATTAAAAGCACAACAATGCAAGTTTGACCTTGAAAAGGGGCCCCAGCAACCCAATGGCTGAGCAGTCTTTTGCAAATCAGACTTTCATAAAACAGTTCATAGGTCTGCAAGTGCAGCAAGGAGTGGCTGAAACACTGGCTCCCTGACAGCTTTGCATAAGCATTGGACTAGAACCTATCTGTTGCACTTACTGTTTGCATGGCAGATCTCTGAACAAATCTCTGTGGACACAGTGACTTCAGGAGAGCAGTGTGTTTATGCCGGTTGATGATCTGTCTTAATAACATGTTCTCCCAGGTTAGGAGAAGTTTCTGCGACCTGCACTGTGCCTATGAAGAATACAAAACATCAATTCTCCTTTGCAAAGCACTTGGTATTAGAATTGAGCATAAATGAAAATCTGCTGCTGCACTGTGATCCTAATCCATGAGGCTTTACTGACAGCTTTTTATTTTGTAATTCCAGAATTCTTTATGTCTTTAATAAAAATTGTACTAGATAGAACCACAGACAGTCCAAATACCTAATCCCAGATCTGATCAAGAAAACTTCAGTCTTCTTTTTGAAGCTGTTTCTAAGTAAGCTGGAGAGCAAGAATCACCACGGTTACATGTATTAACAGGTCATTATTTCCTTTTCTTTAAAGGAGGAACTCTGGCAGTAGTAGGGACATTCCTGTTGGTGACATTTGCTCCAAATGTACCCCAAGAGCTCACAGCAAGACGAGTACAGACTGACTTAGTGAGCTGGCCTTTCTTGGTATACGTGGTGAGTATTTGGTTCACATTTCTGCCTGAATCAGAGAAACTGGGGTTCTTCGGCTGTGAGCAGCCATATGAATTAGTGGCAGAAAAACTGCTGCTGCAGGTACAGGCATTGTTCCCTGCGTGGTTTTCACAGGCAAGAGAGCTCCAGTCTCCAAGCTGAAAATGTGCTGAACCAAAATATGTGTTCATGCCACACTGTCTGTGTATATATGTATTAGTTACAGTGTTTTTCTGGAATGTAATGGAACTGCACTTTTGAAAATAGTCCTCTGTTCTTCTATATCGCCCCATTTTATCTACATGTTGCTGAGTCTACCCCAAAGGAGCTTTGTATGAAGCTGAAATGTAGATAGCCTGTCTCACTTCCATTCAGATTCGTCTGAACTGCAGTTTGAATTAAATACAAAAATGCCATTTTGGTTAAACTATCCGCATACAAACTTCAAATCCCGTGCAGTTTCTTTGATGTATGTAATTAGCATCAGGAACAAGACAAGAGTGAGCAGGAGGAATTTCTCTCTCTCTTCCTCTCTGGAATTTTGAAAAATTTTTCCTCCTGCTGAATGTAAAAGATGCTTCAGAAGTGGTTACTTTTCTCTCACTTGGGTTAGATTATTAGTGCCCAGTTTTCTCTCCAGGAGGAAGCTGAGTTAGAAAACCACTGAGTAGGCGGACTGAGGGTCTTTATGCTTCATCCAGCATGCAGATTTAAAATATATATTAACCACTCATTGAGGATACTTGCTGAGCACAAAAGTACACAATAGCACAAAACAAAAGTTGATCCTCTTGCTCTATTATTTGTGCACTTTTAAAGCTTCTGAAATATGATAATCCAACCCAAGGAAAGAAATTAATGGTTACACTCCAAAGACATACGTAACATAGTATGCACTTTAGATCATGTAGCAGATTGGCTTGTGAAGGCCTAGGAGTTCTGGGGTACTCACTTAGGCCATCCTCAGCTCTGACGAGAGCTTCAGCAAGTCTGTGTAATTAGCAGAGGGAGGGGGACCCTTTAAGGAGGTAATTCAGAACAAAAAACTCAGTTGCTTGAGAACCCTGTCTTTTTCCTACTGAATATTCTCTTCAACCATGTGCTTCCACCTATAGGTACCAAAACAGACTGTTGTTCTAGGTACAGACTTTAACTACTGCCTCACCCTTTTGTGTAAAGAATGTGGAAGGAGACAACCCTCCATCCACCCACCATGACACCACAAACTTCTGTGCCATATAATGTGCACATGTTATTACAGGTTGTTGAAAAAGTGCTTTTCCCAAAGACTTCATTTCAGGAACATTTAATAAGAACACAGCTGAATACATAGGAAGATTTTATTCTGTTCTTCTTAGGAGAAAGTATAAAGAAGTTACAGGCAACCCCTCGACTTTCTTTCCCCTCTTCTCTTTTCCCTGCCTCAGCCAGCATCCAGTTCTCTAGCATGGATTGCAGGGGAGAATGGAGCAACTACATAGCAAGTGTTCTTGATTCAACAACAAATCAAGCTTGATTTGTTTCTTCTACTCCCTAGATTCATTTGGTTTGAGCTTTTTGTTTCAAAAGAAAAGGGAAGAATTAAAGTCTCCTCAAGAGGTACCAGCCTGATGTGCCTTGCATGCTGCTGGAAGTTCAAGCAGACCCTCCTGTAAATATTCTCTTTGGACAGGAAATTAGCTCATCATATTTGTTTGTGAAATTTCTAGTGCAGGTTGGCTGATGATGATGTATAAAAAAGCACAGCTACAGCTACAGAAGTTGCTGAGTATCCAGTATAAATATATATAGAAAGGAGACAGTGCAGCAGTATAAAGCAGGCCAACGGTTTTTCTAAAAGTAGTCCTGAAGTATAGTCTGCTGAGGAATACAAAGCCCCAGTGGTACAAAATGTTCTGTGTGGGTGATAAACCATCCTCCTGTGGCTCACCACTGGCATCAGTGGAGTTCTGCAGAAATAGCCTGTGGTTCCCATGAGACAACTTCAAGCCACCTTCTGAGACTTCGCATTCATGTCTAAGCGGGAATGACTATCTTAGCTTTCTTTCTTTTTTGTATATGCACACTTTGAGTCACTGCAGAAGACATCAATTATGGATGAAGCTTTTAGACTTCCCTAAACAGAAGAGTAGTGAGCACTGGGTTGCGAATTTTTAATATCTATAAAATCAGTTTCAAAACATTTCTGTTTTTCCTTCAAAGTGTCTAGGAGACCATTCTGGTTCATTGGTTCCTGCATTGCTGTATGTCTCAGAAAAACAACAGAAGCAGACAATGCAGTATGTTGTTCCAGGCTCTGATAATGCTTAGAAACATAAAAAACATCACAATTATAAAAATGTTGATAATGTGGACCTGAGAAGACTTCAGTGCACATCAGTTACAGTTGTAAAAATTACTGTAAACGAGTCAAGTTCCTTCAGTTCTATAAACAGAATATATTAAGAAAGTTGTTAGATTCTACACACTTCCCATTCCTGGTTGCTGTACTTAACACAACTGCAGCTAACATCTATTGCAACTGAGCACCACTTGGCATAATTCTCAAGACACAACCAAAGGCAACACCTAGAACACCCCCAGGAAGGACCCCATCTGCATGAGGTCTTGTTAGGAGCCATGCACTCTGCTTGCAGTGTGACTCAGTGCAGTGTCCTCCCCTTGTCTTCTGATTAAAGAGGACCTCTTGATGGTAAGAGCAGTTTGGCTGCTGGGCAACAGGAGGTAAGAACTAAGTTTTTGTATTTCATGCAAAATGGGCAAAAGGAGAGTTGTATAAACTTAAATAACAGCCCTGAAAAGCAAGCATCTGCTTTCTTCCTAGGTTCAGCTGCATATAAAGGCACTTCTCTTTTCTTTCATGGTGACTGGATCTCTTAAAGCTGTCTAGGGAGTATAGAATGAATGGATACCTGAGGTACAGCTGGCTGCTTACAGCAGGCTGTCTCGTGCATTTATGCATGCTCTGCACAACCAGTCCAAGCAGCTGGGATAGGCAGTGGGTGCTCAGGTTTACACCAGGGCCTTGGGAGCAGGTCCTGCAGTGCCATGTCACATGATGCCACGTCCCCATCCCTGTCACAACTCTCTGCTTGCCCACCCTGAGCCAGTTGAGCCTTTCACCTCCTGAGCCAGCACATCATGGAGGAAGAGTTCTTGGACATCTCTGAAACTTCTTTCTAGCATTGAGGACCTTTCCACATGGGAGATACTTATTTAGCACAGCTTTCTTCTATTCCATTAGCAATTGTTCTCTGATTAAAATAAAAACAAAACAAAAGGCAACTGGAGCAATTTGAAGGCTATTGTAACTGCAGCTGGATAATGTGATATTTCCCTCAGGCCCTGAGATGTGTTTGCCAGTGGCACAAACAGTGAAGCTGCTACCTTTACTCTTCCTCTTGAGTTCCCTCAGAACCATTGCAGTTTTCCACAGGGAAACCAAGATGAACTCACAAGCCTGCAGTTGCTAACGTCTTCTGCTTTGTTTCCCAGCTGAGACATAACCAGTGTTACACTGCTGAATGAAGCTGGGTAGGCTGCAGAGGTTCCCTACTGGGAGGCTGAGGCAAAGGCCTCGTTCTACCATATGGTGTTCCAGCTTTCATCCCTGCAGGCACACAAGGGGTGTTGTTCTGGAGGGAGAGGAGAGCAGAATTCTGCAAGAGATTGCAAAGATGATAGAACAACTAGTCCAGAAATGTTTTTGTTTCTTTTAACCAGTAGCAAAATGCTTTCCTACATTCAAACACTTATCAAAAAATGTTTGTTTATTTGTTTGTTTTACACTTGTAAGAAATGCTTGAATTTCTTTGAAGAATGGTGGTATAAAATTATAAAATCTAAATTTGTGTTTGCACTGTTTTGAGCTGCAATGGTGTCTCAGTTGTCTTCAAGAGCAAGAGATCAGTGTGAAAGTAAATCAAAAGTGAATTAAAGCATACCACATTCTGTTCATATTTTTGCACACTAATAATCTGGGGGAGGGTTGAGCGTGGTAGAAAATGTTAGTTGCTGAATGCAGTTGACAGCTTCTTACTTGTGCACTCATTTTCCATGATGAGAAATTTGCAATCTTACATTATGTAACTATTGTTGCTAATCGTTCAGTTCCTTCTTTGTAAATAGCAGCAGAGCAACACCCAGATCTTCTTTATTGGAGTGCTGTGTTACGAGTGGAGGGGCTGTATAGAATATAAAACAACATGGTATTGATGGAGCCAAAGGAGTAGAGGCAAGGTTTTTCTTTGACTTGTTTCACTGGTAAAACAATGAAAATAATCAGATTCAATACTGATGACAATCTCATTTTCTGTCTTATTTCCTCCATTCAGTTACTTCCTCATGTGCACCAACCTCTCTTTCTCCATCCACTTGCTCAGGTCAGGGGGCTCTCAGTACCCCTCAGAATTGAGGTCCTTTCATTCTTGTTTTCAAGAGGCTTTCTGCACTTGCAATTTCTGTTGACTTTAGCAAAGAGGGGCATTTGTGCAACTACACTATGCATGGTAAGAGAGGAATCCCCATCCTTTTGGGATGCTGTGGAAGCTCAGTCACTCCCTGAAGCCATTCGGCACCACTAAGCACAGAGGAAAGCCTGGTGGTGGCTTGGGCAGCTGGAACAGCAGGGAGCTTCTGCTGAGGTGGTGATGCAATGAGACAAATTAACAGCAAGTCCATAAATTTAACCAGCTGTCAGATGTTATTGAGGGAGCAAGTCTGGACCATGGGCAGTGTGAGTAAAAGTGCTTCAGCAGCTGCAGCTGTCCTGCAGTGTGGTCTGCTGGTGTGTCACTGAGCTTTTCCAGGTGAGCTCCTGACAGGTACCCTGCCATCTGAGAAAGCCGCAGCAAATAAATGTTTTCTCCCTGATGATGTATGGCAGAAAGTCAGAGCAGAAAGGCTGGGTTAGGTGGATTTTTCTGAGCAGGGCTTGAGAGAAGGGCAAAGAGGTCAACAAGCATTCTGCACATCACAAGGAGTGACACTAAGAATATCATATCCAGAAGGAGAAACTGCTGTTTCCCCAGGTAAGTGCCTTACTCTATAAGAATTAAAAACACAGAAGTTCTGAAAAAATTATTTTCAGTAATTATAGATATCTTTACTGTCACCTTGAAAATCGTCCAGTGCTACCAATGAGAAAATACAGCTAGAAGTGCAAAAACATGACATTTACAAGACTTTGAATGAAGCATTTATTACACAGTTTTACAGCTCTAACTTTCTTCCCTTTTATTTCCAGATTTTAGAAATTATAATATTCTGCGTTCTCCTTTATTTTTACAAAAGAAAGGCTGTGAAGCACATTGTGGTTTTGTTAATGATGGTGGCAATGCTGGGTAAGAACGTATTACTCACTTTGATGTTCCTGTCAGTCACTTGATAATTCCTTGTCACCCAGACTCCCCAACCAGTTTAGATTAGGGTCACTTCAAAGGGAAGGAGAATCACTGAAATATTTCACATCATTTTACTGTGGTCTTTTTGAAGAGGGAAGCCAATTACGGAATGTAGTTTCTGTGCTCATTGCTGGGGCTAGTTCTCTTTAGAGAGCTCCTTATATGAATATGGTGTGTGCAACAATACTGTGAAGCTTTTTTAACCAATGCTTTGGATCTTGGGAAAGTGAACTGTTTGAAACTTTCTTTTGTGGAGCAGAGCAGGATAGCTGAGAAAATCAACTCTTTAAGCTAGAGCAATTTTAAGACTGTGTAAGCACTCTGTAAGCGTATGCAGTGACACTCCGTGACTATATGGGTGCCTGTACTTCACCATCTTTCTAGAAACACAACAAGCATTCAGCAGGTCACTGAAGTTTGCCCCCTGATTAACACTGCCACCAGAAAAGAATCAATACCCAGAGAAACAAGAGAGAGCATTTAATCAGGTAGTCTTCACTGAAGTCAAACTGGAACCAGTTATGAAAAATACCAGGAGGCTGCCTTTAAAGCTCCACTGCAAGCAGGCATATATTAAGAATTTGTCACTGCTCCATCCCTTTTCTCATCTTTGTCTTGTCAACTTGTCTATGAAACCCTGATGATACACCATCTCCATACGCACATCCACATCAATGTCATTCTGTCAGACTGTCCCTCTGCTGCCATCTGTCACACAGCAAAAACATGTAACAGAATACTGGTGGGAAGGTTCAAACCTCTACTGCCATACCACCAACATGAGCCTCTGATGTCATGGGCCAACATGATCAAATAGGAGACATTACAGAGGAGACACCCTTGTATTTTAACTGTGTTCACTGGATGGATGTGTCATCCTACAAAGACAGAGCGTTTCTCATGGAGCTGGTCAGAACTGTTTTGATAAAACTGAATTTGAATGAAGTTTGCCAGTGATACACTGTAAAACACATGCAGCTTTATTGGCCACATTCCTCCAGACTCCTGCCCGGCTTCTCACCTAGCTGAAAAGCTCAGACTTCCTTTCATATCTACCTTTCTGGGACTGTCCCCCTACTAAATTTCCCAGCACCTTGAACATTAGGATCAGCAGCTCTGCAGAAGCCTTGAAGGATTTCCTTCTCCCTGGATGAAGCAGAGATCAAAGAGTCCCAAAAGCCATCAGTCTGTTTGACTGCTGTTTTGCTTTGGAAGAGAGGTTGTGAGTCCAGACAACTCCTAGCATGGAAGCCTGGCAGCTCTGGCAGAACTCACTGAGCTGCCCAGTGGTTTCCAACCCCTCAGTGCTCCTGGTCAATGAGAGCTTTGGCGTTCTTGCCACACAGCTAAAGAACTCAGGATGGAGTTCCATGCTCATCTTCCACAGTTTGGGGCAGAACCGGCAGAAAGTCATCTGGGCTAAGTCTAGGAGAGCTGGTCCATCAGGCTGTGAAGCCCTATGTGTTTGTTTTGCTGTGGACCCTGCCAGTCCCAACACCAGCAGTGCCAAATGGACGTATGGGGATGCTGATGCAGGAAGCCCAGGAGGCACTCATTGCAGCTTGGTGGGAAGGCTGAAATCAAGCGTAAACAACAATTGCAGCTGGTGGCTGCTGAGGTTTTGGTGAGCATGTGCAGCTTTAGGACAAATGTGTCATTATTCCTGCTCTATTAAAAGAGGCACAAACAAACAAATCCTGGTTCATGGGAAATTTTGAAATTCAGACAGTTCCCTCAAGCAGGAAGTGCAGAACTCTGGCTGGCTCCAGCTCCTGAAGCTGTCCTGGTGCCTGGGAGTCCCTGCAGAGCTGCAGTGCTTCCTATCTGACATTTCTGCTGGGCACAGCCATGAGGATGTGAGGAAGGGCTCACAGCCATCCTGTGTGTTCCCTGCCCTTGGAGTGGCTGTAGGACAGGCAGATGAGGAATGGGGTCACCATGCCCAAAATTCTCAAGGACAGCTCACGGGAAGGAGATTTCTGCCTTACCTAACATCTGCATAGATTCATTCCTGGTGGAGAGTTCACATGGATGTAAAAGAAATGTAAAAAGAAAAGGCATCCTTCGTGTTCCATTGGATGGGAAAGCTACTTCCATTACAAAGAAAATGCAGAGGTGATCATGAAATCTGAAATTACTTACTGTAAATCTTCAAGTCCATTTGTTGAGACTTATCTTACCTCATGCTTATACTGGGAGTTATCATAAATTTTGGGGGAAATATTTCAGATTAAAGTGGGATTTCTGAGTTTCCTGCTCTAACAGCTGGACAGTGGCATCATTTGTCACGCTAGCTTGGAAGGGGTCATTCTATCAGAAACAGAGAAACCATCTCCTAGGGGTTTGAAACCTATTCCAGGTCTATGTTAGCTGAAAGAGCATTCCATCTTTTCAAACAAAACAACGTCAAAACAAAAATAACAGCATAAACCAAAAAATCCCTTCTGCTTATTTTTTCTGGTTTGTTAAAAATATAAGGGAAGTAATTATGCTTTTATCAGAAACTAATTTTCAGCAATTTTTACTTAGTTGGACAATTCAAACTGCTGACTTTTACCTGGAATTGTTCTTTCCAAAATAATAACTCTCCCAGCTGCAACACAAATCTCAGTTATTATGTGGGCTGCTTGGTGGGGGCTTTGTGTATTTTTGGCTTTTTATCATAAGCCCTAGCGTGGGTCAGGATTTGACCCATCCTGCTCACTGTTATGCTGTGTTTGGTGAACTACTCCACCTATTTCAATTATAGAGCAGGAAGTAAAGCACTGGGTGCAAAGGTTGCTGTTAGAGGAGTGAATTCCATGATAGTGAGCAGGATCATCACAAGTGTATACAACTCCAAAACTCCCTCTGAACTTTTGGACTTGTTGTAAGAAAAATGCTTGCAGTCAAAACCTCAGGCCCAAATCCATTCTTCTTCCCCTACCTTTCCTCCGAGCCCCTGCTTTGAACTCTTTGCACAATGCAGCTTGCCTTGCCAATCTGAATTTTGCAGTGACAGGAGGATGAATCAGACACGGAAATCCAACACTCCCAGCTCTGGAACAGGGTGGAACTGGATCTCAGCTGGGGAGCGGTGCTCCTGACAATGAATTACTTCTCTTTGAAGGTCACCACTGCACCCTGATTCTTCTTACCATTATCAGTTTGTTTTGAGGTTGTTGTATTTTTTCTTGCTGTCACCACAACCTCGTTAGTTTAGCTTCAACAAACCACAAGCGCACTCCAAAAAGAATCCTGAAGTAGCTCTTAGCTCAGCTCTCAGCCCCTTTCTCAAAGATGGGCATTGCAAGACTTCTCCAAATTGCTGACATATACCAAATCATCGTCTGCTGGGATTTTTTTTTTTTTTTTGTGATGCACTGAAGATGAGTTAATGGATTGAAAACACACAATTCTCTGGTCTTAAGACTCACCCCTGACATGTAGTGCAGAGCCTGTGCTCACTGCTTGAACCCTGTACACAACCTGTGGGAAAGTTAGATGCTTGGTGATGCGATCCCACAGATCAGCTCCGACCAGCTCCTGTCTCAGCAGAGAAATCTTGAGGGTTAGCAGTAATTTCTGGCTGCCATGTCATGTGCAGGCTGCCAGTAGGTGTGCTGGCTTCTCTGAATGGAGAAGGATGCCTCTCATGCTTGCACAATGCAACGAGGACTCCGGATTAACAGCTGGGCTGAATAAAGGATGTCTGGCAGATGTGGAGGCTATTTGAGCACCTCTGCCCATTGTGGAGGGCATATACTCAGCAGCACAAAATGGATGGGGTCTTTCTTTGAACGCAGCTCAATTTCTGTCTCTTTCTCACACACTGTGCAAGATTTTATTAGTCTATTACCTCTGCCACACTGAAAGCAGAGAGACTTTGGACAGATGCAAGGTTGCAGACATCAGTTCTGGAAGACCTGCAAAACACATCAGTAAAGCACACACACAGTTAAGGCTGCTCTGAGCGGAGACATCAACTTAGCAAATGTTTATAAATCACACGTTTGGCTTTAGGTGCCCAAACTCCACCTCGGTGTCTCTCAAGGCATCAATTCCATGGCACATCTCTCACTGATGCTCTGAGGTCACCACTGTGGGTCCTGCCCTGTTAATCCTTCCTTTTCCCTTTCAGCTTCGCTGACTGTCATTGCTGTGAAGGCTGTGGCCAGCATGATAACGCTCTCTGCCAAAGGGAAAATGCAGCTAACTTACCCTGTTTTCTATATCATGCTCATCTTAATGGCAACTTCTTGTGTTTTCCAGGTCAAGTAAGTGAGTTTCTCCTTATCTCCTCATCTTTGTATCAATTAATCTGTCAGTTCTCTGCAACACTGACATGGACCCTAGATGTAAGTTGCTCTTAAAGGCAGCAAATTCCTGACAGAACCCTGAAAGATGCATGAATTGTCTACAACTGATAATACTGTTTATTTAGGCTTTATTTCTCAGTTTATAATTGATTAGTTAGACAGATGCTTTCTCTCACTATCACCTTAAACAAAGTTTGGCCAAATATAGTTCTTGTTTCGGCACAAGTTTTGGACTCATTACATAAAATTTATATTCCTGATACTTTTTTTTTTTATTACTTTCAGAAACCTTCAGTGCTGAATAATCAAATGGCCACATTTACCCTCACTTTGCACCTCTTGTCCCTAGCTCATGCCACTCATCATACTGAAGAAGAGTTAACGTTAACCCCCACTTTCTCCCCGCTTCTGTTACATGTGCATGCTGCTCTCTGCTGCCTTGTATGTCTGTACTGCTTTAGGAAGTAGTTTGCTTTTGGTGAATGGGGGACATCAGAGTTTTCCCTGCTGGCCTCTGGCCTGTTAAGTGATTGTTTTAGGCTGGTTTTGCAGATTGCTGGGGGTGGCAGCCTGGTAAAATACGACTTGCAGCTGAACAGAGAGTCCCTTCTCTTTATGCTTCAGGTGGTGATAGCATCACTCAGTAATTTCATCTAGGCTGCTCCAGTGTTTACTTGCAGGATTATTTTCTGGTAGAAGAGCCAATCCAGCATTGCTGTGGCAGAACATACCATTTCCATGTGTAATCAGAAAGTCCATGCATTACTGTGCAGTGGCTCTCCATGGCTGACTCAGGAACTTCGCCATAACTGATAGTGGAGTGATTTACAACCAGCTTGTCTTCACCAGGACAACAGCTCAGGGCATTAAAAATAGGAAATAAAAGTTTGGTAAATAGGGAGCTGCTGAATTAACCTCTCCTTGCCAATAGGAAGCTGCTGAATTAACCTGTCCTTGCCAACACTTTCATTATTTCTTTTTGCTGGGTCAAAATGAAAATGTGCCCATTTTGTTTCCTGGGCTCAGTGACTCTTCATCCTTGCTCTGTTTGGAAACATTTTCTAACTGACAGTGCTGTCAGTTTAGTTTTTTTCATTCTCACTGTTTCTTCTCTTATTTTACTTGACTGTCATGTCAGCTCACAATGACAGCCTGGGCTGCTGCATCCTCCTCGACTCACTGCTGGGCTTAGTATCACTGTTTTAGTCCCTGTGACCAAGTTTGTGGCAAGTGAGAGAAAATAATGAGGTGTTTTCAATGACTTCAAAATCCTGACTATCCTGTGGATATGTAGAATTTCTTTATTTTTAAAGCACCATGGAGACTGTTCAACAGTTGCTAAAATAACCATGCAATTACTTTAATGGCTAAAACAGATCCAAGCTTGGATTTTTACTGTTCACATATATTGTACCACCGAAACATTTAAGTGTGGTTCTTTTTATAGGTTTTGAATGCACTCTTCAGTCTTCTGATTTTTCTCTTTCAGTTTGAAATGCACCGTTCCTGTAACAGACTATCGGTGCATCCAAGAGCTCATGCTCATGATTCATCACCTTGTGGGTAAATGTTGATGGCTTTGGTCTCCTTACAAGTGGGTTAGTGCTTGGCCTTCTTTGCTTGCTGATGCAGAATGTGTGGGCTGCTCCATGACCGGTGCCTCAGTGCTGCATGTTTGTGTGCAGTGCACACTCACATGCTCCTGCAAATTCGTGTTGATTATTTTGATGAGGGTTTGGGTTGCCTTTCTGAGGAGCACAGCAGAGAGTTTCCACACCAAGGAGCACAGGCCTGGAGCCACTTCCCTGGACTTTTCTAGTGGAACTGAGTGTGTCTGGGTGTGATTGCATGGGGTGATAAACATGCAAATACATGCTTTAGCCAAGTTGGACTGAGCAACAGTTCTGTGAGGAGTTGCATATGCATGTCCGCGCTGGAAATATATCCTTACCCAACCTGCTCAAATTAGAGCAACTTGTCCCTGGCAGCACTTCTTCCAAGAGCTGAGGCACACCATGGCCAGCAATATCCTAGCATTCCTCCCTTATCTGTGGCAAGCAATTTTTCCAGCAGTACTTCAAAGGTCTCTCTGGCAGTCTATGGCCAGAAGAATCCAATCCAACTTTCTTGCTTAGCTCTTTTTTTGTTGTTGTTGTTTCTACTCTGCAAAGTCAGAGCTAGTAAGTGAATTCAATACACATACCTATCTGTCAAGGACTATTTGCTGTAGTGGGAAGAAATCATAGAATCATAGAATCACAAGGTTGGAAATGACTCTAAATGACTCTGAAATAGCTCTAAGATCATCTACCCCAACTGTCTTCTTATTACCACTGCTACCAAAAGCTACTAAAAAAATGGTCACACTGAACCGACAGAAGCCAGCTTAACTTTACTTTATGTGTAATGAATCTCCTGTAGCCAAGTGGTGCAATAACACTTGTTTTCCAGGTTCTTAAATCAAGCAATGCATCTATATGAAGCAAGAGCAGTTGTGCCCATTAACTTTGTGTTCTGCACCACGACCGCCATCATATCAGGTTGGTTTCTGACCCTCAGTCTCTACAGAATGGTTTTCTAAACACTGAGTTTTCAGACATTACTGTCTTCAGACAGGACCACAAACGAATCACATTTGTCTCCACAAGAAGATTTTCCTAAGTGACAGGTGTTTATGCTCTGAAAAATGAGCCAGTTTGCAACTTTCAAAGCAAAATAAAAAATACTGAATTCTGGCATTACCAGAATTGATATGTACAGCTTGCTGTGCTTTACTGGCTCACTAGAATTACCTGCATTTATCTTAGCCGCATCTTGACATCAAGCAAATGCATTTCCCATGTGCACACCAACCTCCCCGTATCTGAGCTGGTAGAGTAATTTTAACAGCCTGGCAAACTGCTCAAATGACAACCAGCTGTGATTCATAGTAGTTAGTGTATATTCAGTTTCAGAAGGTGGAATTCTAGGTTAAGTGAAGGAAATAAAATGACTCCAAAGACCTTTTAAGCATTTAGCATTTTATTCTGGGTGAGAACTCTGAACTCGGTGCTGTTAAAGAGGAACTTCAGATCTTGGAAATGGTGCAGAGTGGAAGAACATGAGCAGGGAGGACAACTAAGACGCTGTATCAGCAATGAGCCAAAATGATCATGTTGTTATAACATTTATGACTCATTTTAGCACACACTGGGGGCTTTCCTGTCATTGCTGCGCAGGAGTTTCTCATGCAGAGCTGCCATTAATGAGAAGGAGAGTTAGCTTTGTGCAGAGATTGCCCTCAGCACCTGCATTAGGAGGCCTACAGTTTGTGACTGAGACTTTTTCCAAAAGGGGGTTGCATTCTTGCAGCCATATGGGGAAATTGGCCTTGTGCCTCAGTAAGAGATCAAGTACCTATTCAGAAACGGCTTAATGGCTTTGAGACTGGATACATATGCATTTGCATCAGGTTAGTTAAACCAGTGTAGATCTTAGAGAACAAGCTCTGCTGAATCTTGCTGGGATACTGGTGGAAGATACCTCTTCTCGTGATTTCCCGGCCCAAGCTGCAGTCTTTGAATATACAGACACACTTCAGTGGCTCTGGTTCACACTCTGGTGTTTCTAATCAAAACTATGCTCATCAGTGGTTTAAAACAAATACACTTGGCTGTGCATTAGGGCAGCTGAGATCCAGATACACATCTGGCTCTGTCATCTCCACTGCAGAGGTGCTAATTCCTGTTCGAGGGGTGACCAGAAAGAGTTAGTGATCCCTTCAGCCAGAAGGATTTGGCAAACTTGGCTGCTGGAGCCCTTAACTTGGTGCAAATACCAGGGACACAGCTAGTTATCAAAAACCTGTTCCCAATTGGAGTTAATGTGTCCACACTGTTGGAGTGGCTTAATTAAATCCATGAGGAACCTGCTAGCTGTATGCCCGTGAGTTAGACTTTGAGTTTGACCTGCACAAAAACTGTTGCTGACAATGCAAAAAATAGCCTGCATCTGTGCAGTTACTACCATAGCACATGCTCCAGCCCGATAGACTAAATCTTCTCCAGTCTCTTGCAGTATCTTGAGAAAGCCTTGATAATGGCATATGGGTATATAATATGAACCCACCACAATGTGTATTAATACCATATTTGGCATTTTTTTGCTCCACTTGAGCATGACACCGCTCCTGACCCTCCCAGCTGTAATTCATATCACTTGGAATCCAGTCAAGATCTGCAATTCTTGTTTCTGTCACATTCCAGGGGTCATATTTTATCAGGAATTCCAAAGTGCAACTTTCCTGAGCGTGTTCATGTTTCTGTTCGGGTAAGTGTATCAGCCTACAATCTGCACAAACGCTTGTACTGCAACAGCATTGCCTTGTGGAACCCCTTCTTTTCTCAGTAAGAAGAACCCATCTTGTTATTAAAGTATTATGGAATTGTAGGATGAAAAGACATTAAAGGAATGACTTAATATCTATGTTATGGGAGTTTGGAGGCCTGGTTTTGAATCCAAATATGTAAAAATGTGAGATACTTGCGAACTACTACCACAGTGGTATGAAAACCTAGCAGCAAGTATTCCTCCAATGCTCTCCACCAAAGATGATGTTGTAGGGGTGCTTGTACCTATGTGAGAAATCTCCCATGGCACGTTCCACCTGCATGTCCAGCTGCGCTTTGATGCCATTAGATGTGGGCACTTAGAGGAGTTGCTTGCCTACAAGGATCTTCCTGTGCCAAAGAAGCCTGCTAAGAAGCTGTTAAAACACATTTGAAGAAGACTCTGAGTGTCGAGAGCCAGTAATCCGATGGCTGCCAGCACAGCAACAGCCCAGGGGAGGGGTGAATATTACTTAAGGATGGGATATAGATGGTTAATAGCACCTTCCAGAACTGCGGGACCATCTTGTCCCCTTGCTGTCAAACAGCTGGGCTAACAGCTGCAGACATCTTTGTCCCCTGCAGTCAGACTGCAGTAGATGCCCAGAACTGCAGTGTTGCATGACTATGGGAAAAGTAAAAGAAAATGGAGATGAGCAAATCCAACCATGGATTTGGCAGGCAAGAGTTTGTCCAACACTCTGTGTGTCCAACACAGAGTGGATAGGAGATTTGTCCAAGCGTAGCAGTTTCTCATTGCTCCTGGCTTACAGCTTGCCCCTGAGACACACAGTCGAGTGAGAAAAACAACAGAGATGTTGATTGTCTGCAACAAGCCTGAGTTATTGATGAAATCACAGATGCTGCAGTGCTAGCTGAGACGCTGTGTCAAGATTTGGTCAGGAACCCAAAGGTTGCGGTCTCACGCTCACAGGTATTTGATTAGGTATATGTTACTGAAAGCATCGTTTTCCTACAAAGCCTTGGAAGCAATTGTAAAGCTTCAGGAGGCACAAACTAGTCTGACAGGAGCTCAAAATGAAGGTACAGAACAGCCAGGAGGAAATGGCTCTTTGAGAACAGAGCAGCTTGTGTTTGGAAATCCTTGAACAAGAAACATGGGTAAAAGTTCTCATCTCAGACGCAGTGAACTGCTCCTAATAATACAATGCCACTGTTATTTTGCAGGTGTCTCCTATCTTTCCTCAGTGTATTTGTAATTGCAGTAAATAAAAAAGAGGAGGATTTACAAGTTCCTTATATTGACAGTGGATGTATTCCTGGTAAGTAGGACTTTTTTTCCTGTCTGTTTAAAAATGAGATATCAGATAATGGAATGACCTAGGAGAGTTGAGTCAGAAATGTGCTGTAGTCGTATTTAATAAATATACTGTTCCCTTAATTTCTATTCCTGTTCCCAACAGATTTTTCAAATAATTTTTGAGAGTTTTTCCAAGCTATTGTTACAACCAGTCAAATGAAAACAATGATTACTGGAGCAAGGAATGTTCAAATGATGGATTGGTTGGGGGATTTGTTTTATTAAAATTCTTCACAGAGTTGTTGTTTTTCCCTTCTCTCACCCCATTTCCTTAGGACAAAAATTGACAGGCAAAATACAACCAGATTCTTACGGTTCATGCTATGGCACTTTGAATAATAAAGATGACTCGGGGAAAAATCAAAGCTGAAAGAAGAAGGCACCTTACGTTCCACTTAATGAGAGGAATGCCACTGGAACAAGAAGCCGCAGCACCTTTTCATTGGATGTACTCAAGTAGATATTGAATTCCTGCACGTTGATGAGTCATATGTTATTTAATCTTACTTAATTTATCCTCTGGCTGTCCCAAATGTGTTTTGAAGATAAAGAAAACCTTAAGAAAAACTTAATAACCATTAATGAAACAGAATGTTCTAGAAGTATAAATGCCTCTCAGTGACGAGTACGGATATTTTTAGGCTTTTAATTGCCTAGAAATGCAAATAGGCACATGACAGGATTTTTAAAATTTGTTTTTGAAAACCCCCAGATGTGCATAGATGCTTAAGGACAAATATGGGAAATAAAGAGGATTTTTGTGAGAGACTTCAAAATATTCTGCTGTATATCTACTGCCTTTAAAAATCTGATCCTGCTTGTTCGATAATCAAAATTGTAGGTATATATGCGGTATGAATAATCATGTACACACATTTTTACTATGTGCAGAGGGAAAATCCTGATTATCTTTTGCTATCAGACTAATTCTCTTATCTTCAAAGGACACACATGCACGTATTTGCAAGGAATCCAGCCAAGGTGGAGCTGAGCAATCAAGTGTGGCATTTTATATCCTTCCCATGTCTTGCGTACTGAGTTGGACTGGCCATATTTTAAATTAGTCTAGACTAGTCTGAGGCTTAGCCACTGTTTTTAGGAAAAGAGGGTTTAATGAAGGAAGTGCAAAGAGAAAAAGAGGGATCCAGGCTTCCTCTCTTTATATGTATTTCAACACCCCAAGAAAGCTCTGTATGATAGTTAAAGTGATAAAAATATTTATAAAATCTTGGGAACTATTGACCAGGGAGGAGAGGGTGGTGAAACCTTGGCACAGGCTGCCCAGAGGAGCTGTGGATGCCCCATCCCGTAGGCACTCAAGTCCTGGTTGGATGGGGCCCTGTGCAGCCTGAGATGGCAGGTGGCAGCCCTACCCATGGCAGGGGCTTGGAATTGGGTGGGCCCTAATGTTCCTTCCAACCTCAGTTATTCTGTGATTCTATGGTATTGCAGAAATACTCCTGAAATAGAAATTAATGCAAATTTTGCACCCTTACTACAGCCATGGTAATCTTGCATGAGGAAAGCCTGTAAAACATAGGGTCACTAGAGTCACAATAACGGCACAAATTTTCCTTCATTAAATGGTAGCTTCTCTACACTTCTTTGAAGAGCTGACATCAATGAGGGACCATAGCAGTTCTCAGATAACTAGCAGTGTTCCTCAGGGTCGGTGCTGGGTCCGGTCTTGTTCAACATCTTCATCAATGACCTTGATGGGGATAGTGGCCACCCTTAGAAAGTTTGCTGATGATACAAAGTTGGAAGGATTGGCTGACACGCCTGAAGGCTGTGCTGCCATTCAGAGAGACCTGGACAGGCTGGAGAGCTGGGCGGTAAGAAACCAGATGAAGTTTAACAGAAGCAAGTGTAGAGTCTTGCATCTGGGGAGGAATAATTGCATGCACCAGTACAGATTGGGGGATGAGCTGCTGGAGAGGAGCTCTGTGGAGAGGGACCTGGGTGTCCTGGTGGACAACAGGTTGGCCATGAGCCAGCAGTGTGCCCTTGTGGCCAAAAAAGGCATTCTGGGGTGCATTAAAAAGAGCGTGTCCAGCAGGTGGAGGGAGGTGATCCTCCCCCTCTACTCTGTCCTGATAAGACCTCATCTGGAGTACTGTGTCCAGTCTGGGCTCCCAGTACAAAAAAGACAGGGACCTCTTGGAAAGAGTCCAGCAGAGAGCCACAAAAATGGTGAAGGGCCTGGAGCATCTCCCCTACGAAGAAAGGCTAAGTTCTAAGGTCTGTTCAGCCTTGAGAAAAGAAGACTGAGAGGGGACCTGATCCAGGTCTATAAATATCTAAGGTGTGGGGGGCAGAGTGGCGAGGCCAGACTGTTTTCAGTGGTGAGTGGAGACAGGACAAGGGGAAACGGCCGGAAACTGCAGCATAGGAAGTTCTGCACAAATGTGCGCAAGAACTTCTTTACAGTGAGGTGACGGAGCACTGGAACAGGCTGCCCAGGGAGGTGGTGGAGTCTCCTTCTCTGGAGATGTTCAAGACCCGCTTGGATGCCTACCTGTGCGACCTACTGTAGGGAACCTGCTTTGGCAGGGGGGTTGGACTCGATGATCTCTGGAGGTTCCTTCCAACCCCTATGATTCTGAGATTCAGTGATTCTGTGATTCAGGTCTGGGAGGTTGTGGTGTCCCCAAGTCTCAGCCTCCTGGAAAGAAAACTGCTGCTGCGCATTAATGGTGTGCCCATCCACCCTGCTGGTAGATCTGGCCTGCCCCAGCTGATACTGCGATGTTCACACACCTCCTCTGAGACAAAAAGTGCTCTTGAAAAGCATTCAATAATAGCCTTCACATCTTGGACAAGATACTTCTTTGGGGATTGGATTAATCTTCTGTAATGGATATGGGCCATAGGCTGAGCAGATTTTGTTTCATTGGGATACAATGAAATGAGATCTTCCTTTTTTTTCCCTCCCAAGTAATTGTTTATTTCATTCTAACATAGGTAGAGCCAAAGATCCATGAGATGGTTTCACTTCAAACAAAGTGTGCACAGCTCTGTAGATTTTCCTATTCAAGCGATGTTCCAGCTGTGAAATTTGCAGAGCTGTTTTTTACTGTGGATCTTTTCCAGCTGGTACAGGACAGGGCTCAGTGTCTGCACCTTGCTTGTACCAGTTGCCTTCTTGCAGCCTTCCTTTACTCTCTCATAGTTTAAGTTCAATTTTCCCACAGTTCATGAAAGAAAAGATACCAGATTCTGTATGCTTTCTGCAGGGAATAAGGGCATACTTCTGTGCCTCCTATGCCCCTTGCCTCTTGTGTGTCAAATGTAAGTAACTTTCTGATTCTCAAGTGAGAACATGTGCTAAAGATGTAAATAGGAGGCCTATAGTTTTTCATTCTGTGACCTGGGATGTGAAGCGGGACATGATTTATTTTTGCTTCCTGTTAAAATTACTGGCCTTGGGCATCTTTCTGAAATCTGCTTCCGTGATTCATGAGGGCTGAAGGAGATATAGTATTTTCTCTTCAATGTACAAAATGAAATGTAAAAACCCATAGCAAAAGTTATTATTGATTTTTAATTTTTGTATTCTCAAATAATATAACTTTCCTTCATATGGGTTTATGCAAAACTATAAGGGTTAAAAATGTTTTCTGTAAACTGGAATGTAATTAAAATGAATTGATAGAGGAAAATCTTGGCAGGAATTATGTGCAGTTAAAACTTGTGATTAGACATGATTTTGGAAGTGTGAGCATATTCCGAAAAATTAACATATCACAGGGTCAGAGAAACGTGGTGATGGTAATTTATTACTGCTCTGCAAAGAAAGGGACACAGTTTGTTTCAAGAATCGGTTTGTAATCAGTGTTATTTTAAGGGTGGCCAGGCTGCCCAGGAAGGTGGTGGAGTCACCATCCCTGGAGATGTTAAGAGACATGTGGACGTCACACTGAGAGACGTGGTTAGTGAGCATGGTGAGAATGGGCTGATGGTTGCACTAGGTGACCTTAGTCTTTTTCAACCTGAATGATTCTGCGATTTTGTGATTTGCCTTGTGATGTTTAGGTGACAAGTAGCACAGACAAACAAACAAAACACAAGACAAGACAAACACAAACACAAGACAAGACAAGACAAGACAAACACAAGACACAAACAAAAAGTTTTTTTCACTGGAACACAAAAAAAGCTCCTGGAACCCTTCTCTTTACCAATGAGTTATTTTCTTGCAATGTTTTTCCTGACATCAAATACATGTGCCAGATACAAAGTGTGAAACTTGCACCTGCAGACTGAACTTTCTTGAGCAGATGCACCACAGGATTTGAAATAAAACTGAAGGGAGTCATGGAGGACAGTCTGCATCTCAGATGGTCCCTGCTGGCTCCAGGCTGGGATTTCTGACAGATCAGAACCAGCAGGACTCACTCAGTGCTTGTTCCACTACTGGTCAGCTGCAGTAAAAGATGAAATATTAACTGGCCGCAGGCCTGGAAATGGGAACTCTGGAGGAGAGCTAGGCAGTTTGTTTTTTGCCGTAAGAAAATATCAGGATGCATTTCAGCTTGCAAATAATAATAATAATCTTGGACTGGATTCCTGCATCTGCCAATGACAGAAGCCTGGCATTTGCCTGTGAGGGTTGATGCCAACTCCTCGCTAACCTGGCAGCTTCTGGTGGCATGTGAGGGCTCTGGAGTTCTGACTTCGTAGCTTGAGCTTCTTTGTTTCGAAGCTATGGTGACAATGCAAAACCCTGGGCCAGACTCACTAGGCCATGGCTAGTGAGCACTGGGAAGCTCTTGTGGGGCTGAGGTAGGCAGCTCATGGCATGAGGAGAGCCCTGAAGGCAGTGAGGAGCAGGGACACGTGCACAGCTCGGCGTAAGGACTGACTTTTTCTATCCAATCACCATTTGCTATAAGGGGCATGAACAGTGCTGGAAGGATGGACAGGAACCAAATCTCCCTACTTCTGACCTTATAATGGTCTCCCATTGCAATCTCTCCTCCCAACCCACTTGCAGGATCTTTGATTGCTTGGAGAGAAAACTGGTAACAGTGGGGTGCAGATGATTAGACAGAGCTGTCTTTCAGTTTGGCCTTTTGCTTTTATCCTCAGAGACATGACCTTCTCTTCTTTTTTTTTTTTCTTTTTTTGTTTGTTTATTCCTCTTGGAGAAATCAGCTGGGCTGTGTTAGCAGCTGGCCCAAAGGAGATAAAGGCTAATTACCATAATTATTATTGGAGGGCCAAGCTGGATGTTGTACAGCACTGGGCTTCCTGAGGAGAAAAAGGTAGGGAAAAGCTCAGCTCTATGGTTTCACAGGAGTTTGAAAATCCTGTGTTTGCAGTGTTGCTGGATTCCGGGACAGAATTAGAGACATCAGTGAATAAACAGTGATTCTATATATTATTGAATGTGTTTTTAATTTTTTAAACTGATTTGGAAGTGAAGGATGGCTGTTCTCTGCCTAGAGAAGCAAAGAGAAAATCAGCTGGAGATGTTGGCAGCTGGGAGTTGTTTCAACCTTTTGGAGCTGGAAGAAGCACAGAGGCTCCTTCCAACCGTTAAGTAACTGAGGGGCAGCACTGGCAAATGCACCACTACGTATTAAGCAGTTATGACTTTTAAGAAGGGATCCTTGTCCTGTTGTCATGTCTGAAGCTGTTCAGAGGACATGTGGCTGATCTGGCTTCTTAGGCTGCACATAAACATATTTTTGAAGCATACTGAGCCACACTGTGGACTCTGGCCCCTTGAGCATCCCACCGATACGTCTTTGGTGTGCACTCCATGCAGAGC